CCTACCCTTTGCACCCAGGTGAGCCTGGCCTGAGGGCCTATCCTCCAGTCTTGTGCCTGGCTCCTCTGGTGTCCAGCCCTGTCCTTCAGCTGTCTCGAGGCCTCATTAGACTGACAGAGACACTCCTATCACTCAGGAAATTCCATCAGGTAGTTTTCTAAGCTCTCTGCCAAGATCTGAGGACCAACACCAAATACGTTCTTTTTTTTTTTTTCCCTCCATTAAGTTTACTGGTACATTTCAGGTATAAAATACAGTTACATGATGTGTCTTGGTTCTTATTTTTTTCCCCTTCCCCTGCCCTCCCTTCACCCCCTCCACCCTCCCTATTTGCAAAGACTTTGTTTCTATTTTTTTCCTTTTCTCATATTTTTTCTTTTCCCTTTTTTCCTTTCCCCTACCCCTCCTACTTCCCCTGCTCCTTTAGACCTTTACTTCCTATTACACAGTATCAATTACACATTTTTTAAATTACAATATCAAGATCTAGGAGACATTACCACAGATTTTACAGAATTTAAAAGGATATAGAAAGCATATTACAAAAATCTTTTCTGAAATAAATTTGACAACTTCTAAGAAGTACCTTGGAAGACAAATTAATGAAGCTAACACTGGAGGAAATATAAAATTTAGATAGCACCTGTTAAAGTATATTCCTAGCTTGAAAACCTACCCATATGACAACAGCAGGCCCATATACATTTTAACTGATAAATCAAACAATTAAAGCAGAAGAAAGAAGGAGCACTTCTCCCCTCATTAAATTTCTTCTTAAAGTTTTATACTTTTAGGCTCTCATATTTAGGTTCATAGATCCCTTCAAGTTATTTTCATGTATGGAAATAAAGGGTTGATGTTAATTTTTTATGTATGGATACCAGGTGTTCTAGTGCCATTTGATGAAAACACTGTCTCTTCTTCGGCTCTTGAATTGAGTTTATATTCTATAAAATGCTAATGTTAAATAATCTTTCAAAACTCAGTGGACCATATATGTGTGGTTCTATTTCCAAATACGTTCTCGATAATTTCACTGCTCCACCTGCCTGACTTCAGAAGGAAAGTTTGTAAGTGTCCTTGCTTTTTCTATCGACAGTGATCCTGAGACTGAGTTCCGGGAAATTTTGGTCCCCAGCAGAGAGGGCATTTCGAAGGAAGCTTAGTTTGGTTGAACACAAGCTGATGAGGTTGCACAAGGACGTTCCAGATGAGATGGCTTTAGGATCACCTCCAAGGGACACCCTCAAGAGTACAAGGGAACCACGGCCGTGGAACTGTTAGGAGACAGACTTCTTGCTCTCAGCTCGCAGGAAAGGAGAGCCAGTGGAGGGCTGGAGGAGAATCAGGAGGGCTTGTCCTGGAAGCAGCCCACCTCGCTTCTCCCCACATCTTCGGGCAGAGTTCAGGCCTGTGGCCACGCTTATCATGGTGGGAAGGGTCATCTAGCTGTGTGCCTGCAGCCGCCACCAGATGGTCCCTGGAATACGTGACAGGGGCTGTTCACTGTCCCCTCAGTGGGAATGTCCTCCCCTAGACAGCGCCAGCCTCACTGTCCAGGTTCCTTTCAGTATCTACTTAGGAGATACCGCAACAGAGAGCCAAACCGGCCAGCCTGTTCCTATGCTGTGCCTGCCCGTCCTCCTGATCACGGAGTAAGAATTCAGCTACTCAGGACTTGCATTAGTCAGAGATCCCCAAGAAAGGACAAAAGGTTGGAGGGAGAAGGGAGATGTCTCCAGGGTTATGGAGGCCAAGTCCAGGATCTGCCATCTGCAGAGTGGTGTCTGCCCGCCTCCATGCCAGTCCACTGAGCTGATGGTGTCAGTCCCAGCCTAGGGCCACAACCCTGAGAACCAAGGAGGGCTATGGCGTAAGTCCCGGAATCCAAAGCCTGGAGAACCAGGGGCTTTGATGTCTCAGAGCAGAACACGATGACCCAGCTCAAGAGGAGGGAGAAATTGCCTTTCCTCCGACGGTTTCTGCTGTCTGGACCCTTGGTGGGTTGGCTGATACTCCTCTCCTATTGTGGACCTTCTTTACCTGGACCATTACACCGTCACAGCAGACATACCCAGAGATACTGTTTTACCCCAAAGCGGGGCATCCCTTAATCCAGCCTAGTCAGTGCACAGAATTAAACCTCACAGGGCTCTTGGTGACATGCAGTAGTCACAGACTGACTTCGAAAACAATGTAATAAAGAGCTAGGGATTTAGCTCAGTGGTTCCACCGCCTGCCTCGAAAGCGCAAGGTCCCGAGTTCAACCCCCAGTACCAAAATAAATAAATACATTTTTTAAAATAAATAAATAAAAAACAATATAAGTGGGCCGGGGATGTAGCTCAGTGGTTCTGCCACCTGCCTCGCAAGTGCAAGGACCCAAGTTTGATTCCTGATACCAAAAAAAAAAAAAAGATATAACAAAAAAAACAATGTAAGGTCATCAGGGACCTCAGCCAGTCAACAAAAGGGCTGGAGAGACAAACTCAGAGCCAAAGCCCAGCCCAGGTCGAGTCGCAGAGGCGATGTTCTTTGGACACCACCCTGGGGCGTCATCCCGGACAGGGGCCGTCAGGGGCCCTTCTGGGTTTCACCTTGGCTCAGCCCCTCGAGGTCCACACTACAGGCTGCAGGCTCTGACCGGCTTGAATGCAGGCAGGGGCCCATGCTCCAGCTGCTGGGGGACAAGGGTGGAGACTGTCATGGGAAATGGGGCCCCGAGTCCCTCCTCCGTGGGAATGCCCCCCAAACGAGCCATGTTCCTGAAAGGTAACCGAAACCATATGTGCACTGTCCATAGCTAGATATAAAATTCTGCATTGACGGTATCACTTTATGCTATCAGTTAATTTTCAAATATATATTTTTGTTAATTTTGCCCTCAGTCTGCTCTGTGTCCCTTGTAAATAGCTTTCTCTTGATCTCTGGGTAATTTTTGAGAATCTGTGTTTGACATACATAGGGATTTACTTAGGAGTTCTGCTTAGGACTCCTTGTGCCTTTTCATTTGAAGATCCTTGTCTTTCTTCTCTTCCAGAAAATTCGCAGCTATTTTGTCTTAGCTATTTTGTCTCAGCTATTTGTAATTATTGCTTCTCTCCTATTACTGTCTTTTAAAATTCCTATTTAAAACGTGGGTGCTTTCCTTATCTCTTTACAGACAGTAATGTTTCCTGGTCACTTGACACTCTCCTAGGCGCAAGGGGGTTTCTTTGAATGTGTTGTCTAGTTCTTTCTCTCTTCAATTATGTCTAGCCCGATGTTTAACTCATCCATTTCACTTTTGTTTTCAATGATTACAGTTTTTACTAAGTTCTGTTTGGTACTTATGCACATCTGCCTGTTCTTTCTTAACTGCCTTGTTCTTTTTCCACAGTGTTCTTGCTTTAAGGTTTCTAGCCCTCTTGTCTTTCCATTGTTTTGGATATTCTTCCTAATTAGCCTGTCCAGAGACTACCCTCCCGTGCACCCCTGGGGTCCTGTGTCTCCCCTTTCCTGCACTCTCCTCTTGAGAAGATTTCGTGTGGCTGATTCTTTTTTGTTGCATTCAGTAGGAGGTTTTCATCTCGTCACATCACATGAGGGTGGTTGAGTCTTACAAAGAGCCCTCGTTGACTCGCATGGTGAGCATTTCCCTTCAGCATGGCTCTGCCTTTGCTTTTCTGGGTGCATCTTCAGGTAGTTCCCTGAGGTGAGACAGGTGAGGAGAATGAATACATTTGGAATTTGTCAGCCACCTCAGAGGTGGTATGTCTCTTTCCAGGATGGGGCACCGGGCTGAGTTGGTTCTGTTTCTCTCTTTTCCTTACAAAAGCATAAAATCTACAAGCTCTTGTTTCTGATTCAAGGCCAGATGCATGGGAGTACAAGTATGAAAATCCAGCTCAAACAGGCATTGGACAAGTAGGTGACTCCCGGCTCATGTGGCTGACAGGGGCAGAGGTCACATGTGCACAGCCTGGGCTCTGTATTGTTGGTGTCTGTGTCAGAGGAAGAACCTGTCTCCAGTCTTCCTCTGACTCTCTCTGGCCCCTTCAGACATAATTCAAACACAACTACAAGATTAATGAGTCCTTTAGAATCACAGCTCCAAGTAAGTCCCTCCTGGCTCAGAATCCTTTAGCGATTCACTTTGCACCTCTGGTAGAAAGTCCAAATCATTGTGGTTGACCGAGGCTCATTCATGGTTTCAGCTTCATCTCTTCCTTCCATATCCTCCAATTAATTCCAACAGAAGTACTCTCTGTCCCTTCTCTGAGCCCCAGCGGCATTCATTGCCTATGGCCCTGGGCCACTGCATTCCACCTTCTGTGGTGCTGGAAGGCCTGTCACCGATCTGCCCTGAAGGGTTTAGATGATGACACCCCCAGGCCTCCCACCAGGGATTAGGTTAAGCCAGGCAAGTGGCTCCTGAGCTGCACAGCGCAGGTACAGAATCTGCAGCTCATTCTTGGGTAGAAGTGTCTTCAGTGTCATTGCTCTGGCGCAGTGAAAGGTCTCATTCCTGGCAGTGAGGCTGGAGCACAAAGCGAGATACCCCGGTGCCCACACAGGGTCCCTGTCTGCCCCATTCCCAGCCCTCCTGGTTGGGTCCCACTCCATGGCACTCCCTTCCGGGGGGCTGCTCTCCTGGCTCAGCAGGACCGTGAACCCTGCCTGGCACAGCCACCTGTTGACCACGATGTGTTATCTTCCGAATCTGACAGACACCTCGGCACGCTCCTCTGCTGGCTTTACACGCAGCAGAGTGGGCAACACAGATCTACTTGCTTAAAGATGCTCACTCAAGTCTGGAGTGTGCTGGGGACTGGCCCCGAATGGACAAGAGTAGAAAGCATTCACGAAAGCAGGGGTCCCACAGGAGCTACTGTGTGAACAGGTCTTTTTCACAGCTCCACGGAGCCCATGACAGCACCTGGCATGCAGCAGACACTCCAGGCCAGTTTTTAAATGAAGCAGTGGATGAGTTAATGTGTACATCTTTTCATCTCCGACAGATTACAACAGCAGTGAACTAAAAACAGCCTGCAGGAAGCATGAGCTTTATGTGAGCTTCCAAGACCTGGGGTGGCAGGTGAGTGCTCGGGACAAGGCCAAGGTGCCCTTTCAGCAGCTTGTCCTTACCTGGAGGGGGTGACAGCCGGCGTTCAGGGCCAGAGCTTCAGGGCCTGTGGAAGTCCCGGGAGGCCTCACACTCAGGAGCGAGACGCCTTTCTGGGGTTGCCAAGCTCTGCGATCCCTCAGAGTCAGTGCCCACACTGCCCAGTGCAATGACCTTGTTCTTCCAAAGCCCACACAGCATATATTTATTTGGGCATTTGAACAATTTTTGTTTTGAAACAGGGTTGGAAAAAATAATCTAATGGTTAACTTCTTCACTAGCTACAAATTGCCTCATCCAAACTATTCAAAAGAGCACAAAGGCTTTGCCTCATAGCTGAGAGCCAGCCACCAATAGTTCATAAGAAAAGAAAGCTAATTACAGGTGGCGAGCGCACTTGTGTGTGTAGTGGTAACTGCTCTGACAGGAGCACCAGTGGCTCAAGAGGGTCTGTGGGTCCAGTTACAGACAATCTGACTTAAAGTGGCTTGACAGGATTTTTCAACTTTATGATGGTGTGGCATTGAATTCCGAATGGTAATCTTTCTGGGCTGGTAATAGTGGTCCAGTCCTCTCTCCCAGCGCTGGGCTATGAAGGGAAAGCTCACCACAGCGTGCTGTGCTGCTCGGCTAGATGTCCTGGGGGTTACTTATACTAAGTGCGTTCTGACAGAGGACGGCTTCTGTGGGATGTGTCCCCACAGGAAGTCCAGGAGCATCTATCTGCCCATGAAGACAGCCGCCTGTGCCATCCCAGGCTTCATGCCCTGGCTTTTGGCACGGCCATGTGGATGTGGACAAATGCCAAATGCTCCCCGTGTCTAACTGTCCAACATGGTATCCCACTTTCACATGGGGTTCTGAGCACAGATGGTGTGGGAACGAGTGTGTTCATCTTGTGTTGCTTCCTTTTGCTCTGAAATCAAGGACTGGATCATTGCACCCAAGGGCTACGCTGCCAATTACTGTGACGGAGAATGCTCCTTCCCGCTCAATGCACACATGAACGCCACCAACCACGCCATCGTGCAGACCCTGGTGAGTCCTCCGATTTCACTAGGGGGGATGAAGCCCATGATAGGTGGCATCATTTCTAATTGTACACTTTGTTTCTGGCGCAGGTTCACCTTATGAATCCTGAGTACGTCCCCAAACCATGCTGTGCACCGACTAAACTAAATGCCATCTCCGTTCTTTACTTTGATGACAACTCCAATGTCATCTTGAAAAAATACAGAAATATGGTTGTGAGAGCTTGTGGATGCCATTAACTCAAAACCAGCTGCTGGGGCACTCGTTCTACCCTGGAGTCCCGGATTACACCTGCCTTAAAAACTAGAACAATAAAATAGCCATGCAGTGGAAGTGGGAGGAGACTTGGAAGCATCTCATGCTGGTGCCTTATGAGCTGCCCATGGAAGATGTCCAAAGGACCTCGCTAATAGCCTGCTCACTTCGTAAATGTGTGAGTAGATGCTGGTCTGTAGGGAATGGAATTGGAATGTTTGGAGTGAGAGACCTGGGAACAGCAGAAACACAACTTTGAGGCCCCCTCCTGCCCCTCAAATTAGTCTTAGCTTTATATCAAGCTGTATTGTTACTACGAAAAATATTCTTGGAGGAGTGTAAGTATTCTTGGAAGCAGCACCGGCTGCCTCAGTAGGATCTGTCAAAGTAGAGTTGAGAGGTGGGGGCAAATTCTGATCAGATCGGTAGCGTGGACTCGCAGGGCTCCCAAAGGTGCCTCTGTCTCATGTTTGCTCCGTGTCTGCGCTAGTGTCACTAGGGCCAAGTGTACTGATTTCAGGCAAAACAAATCATCCCAGTTTCACACCTCTGTCCCCCCCCCCCATTTTTTGCTACAACTGAAAGCAGAGCAACTGATTCTGAGGCTGTACCGGCTGCAGAGTCTTTGCAGTGGCTCTCATTTTAACCGAGTCACCTCTGCAAGCAAGGCCACACCCATCCTGTGCGCATGGGCTTTGCCCGGGCCCTCGGAGCACTGGCTCCAGTGTCTTATCTATCCCTTAGCGCGGTTCTCTGGCCCCATACAGCGTCAGGCGCTGCAGGGTGAGGGCTCCTGAGGGAAATCAACCTGTCCCAGCAGTGGGTTCCTGCAGAGGAGCGTGCTGTTTATGAATGAACCGAAATCACAATGTTCTCCTTAGAAAAATAAGATTCAGATTAAATCTTAGCATATTTTTAAAATGTCTTTTTCACAATCATGTACTGGGAAACCAATTTCATACTAAACTGATTAAATAATGCATTTATAATCTACAACTGTTTGTACTTACAGCTTTTTTTGTAAATAGAAACTAATTTATTGTTTGTTTCCTGTTTTGCTGTAACAAGACCAGACCTTTTTTTTTTTTTTTAAAAAAAAAGAGTTTATTTAGAAAGTATAGTGTAAACAAATCGTACCACCTTGATCCGAATACAAGACTCATGATTCGAAGCTGAAGCCACTTGGGACACTGGCCTTCTCGAGAAAGTTGGGTTCTTTTCCTGCACATCTGTGAGCCACGCGTGACTAATAAAGATGTCCTTTAAGGCAGAGGCTGGCCGAGACGCTGCTCTGTTAGCTCCTGCGCCAGACCGCAGGCGTGGTCTGTTTCTGAGCTTTCTCCCACCAGCTGCACGGTGCCCAGTGTCCCCGGGAGGCAGGGAAGGGGACTGGCCACCAAATGGTTATCACAAAAAGGAACCTGATGCTAACAAACACAGCTCCGTGTCTTATCACTACAGTTGCTTATGTCCAAGGGACAGTAAAAATCTTTAATGACCAGGATGGCACGACTTAGGAGGCCAGCATCAATATCTGCACATCCCTGCTGACTTCAGTCTTCGGTCTTGAGGCCCAATGAGTGCCACTGTCCATACATTGTAAGTCGACCTCGCGGAAGGCAGACAACATAGAGCAAGCTGCTAAAAGGACTACTGCAGAGCAGAAGCAGAGCCCAGAGTAGGGCTGGAGGTCCCTGGATACCAGGCCTAGAAGGCCTGTCTGGTCCCACTGCCCTAGGCAGCAAATGTAACTGGAATCTCAAGAGCTGATGGACGGTCAGGACCAGCCACCTTTCTAGGGAAGACGTCAGGGCCTTCATTGCACACAGACTCGGCTGCATGCTCACACTAGGAGCTAGTGCAATCCCTCACCCTGTGAGCAACACAGCAGGATCCTTTGCACAACAGCGGACTTGACAAGTGCCCATACGCACGGCGGGGGCCTGACAAGTGCCACTGCCTTCATTATGGCTGGTCTCTCTCGCTGAGAGAATGAACAGAAGATCCAGCGGGGCCCATGAGGGAATCTTCCAGGGGCTTGGGTTTTTGTTTTGAGATCTGTTCCAAGCTCCAGACCAACCCTATTATTAATAGTTGATAATGACCTTCAGATCAGAGAGACATCAATGGTGCCACAGGGCCGCCCTTCCAAGACTCCAGGGCAGTTTAAAAAGAATACTAGGCTTTTGGATGGTGCTTTTGCTAGAATCACTTGGGAGCCAAAAACAGTCCAGCAGTTTGATTTCCCTCAACTCCGTTTTAGTCTCAAAGGAAACTATTTAATTTCATCAAGGGAAGTTAGAGGGGATGGATCACCCCTGAAAATATTCAGTTTGCACAGTGACCAAGAGTTATGCATTGACTTAGGAAACTTAAGAATCCGCAGCGTGTGTTGGTTTAAACACACACACCTAGAAGACACCACAATTCAGTACATTCAGCTCTGTGTTACCACCACGGAAACTCAGACGTCTGGCCGACTACCTGGGCTGCCAGACAGCGTCTCCAGCAGGGTCTCTACAGTTCGTCTTTCACCTGGCGCAGAACGAAGTGGTGTAAAGACTCTAGGTCTCTACCGCCGCTGTGCTCGCTGACTTTTTTACCACCTCGGAAGAGCAGCAACGTGGGATAGCCTCGGACCTTTAAAAGCAAACAGAAAAGGCTGGCAACCAGGGCTCTGAACCACACATAGACTGCTTCTGAAAACCAGATAAACTCCTCCAGGTGGGACTGCAAAATCCCAGGGCTCATTTCTAAACAAGTAATTGGATGATAAAAGGACCAGTTTGGACAGCAGAGCCTTAGGGTGAGGGGTTCATTTCCGGATCAACAGTTTCACTGAAGATTAGTATCACAGTGACTTTACCCAAACTAGATTTGGACCCGGGGCCTGGAAGCCTGCACTGTGGACCATGCCTTTCTCCCCTGATGATGTCAAGGGACAAAAACATGACATCTGCGTTACATCCCAATCTGATTACTCCAAAGCTTAAAAAAAAAAAAAAAAAAAGGTACATGGGAGGTACCGTCACCAGAGGAAAGGGCTCCGTGGAAGAGCACTAGCCTTGAGTGCACGATCCCTGGGCGTAGATCCCCAGGACCATGGCAGCAAACACAAACGGGAAAATATAAACCATAGCTCCCTGGGCCCTGAGACTGTGCCCACAGCTCAGGCTGAAGACAAGAGCAACACAACCGAGCACAGGGCTGGCTGGTGCTGCCTTTCACCAGCAAGTTCAAGTTCTATCTGCCTTTCCTTTGGCCACTGTCCTCCAATGCAGACTTCTGCGGAGCCCGAGCCCCTGGGTATCATGACAGAGGCTGCAGTTAGCACCAGTTAGCAGGAATGGTGTGGAGCAGGCACCCCGTTCCTATTGCCCGCAGCCCGCATTGAGATGACCCAGAGCAGGAAAAGAAGGAACGCCTTGGCCTTGAGAGGATCTTCTGCTTCTCAAAACAAAACTCAAAAGGACCCGAACAGTGCTGTTGTGAGCTGAGGGCAGCATGCGTTCTCTCTGCTGGGTCCAGGACACCCAGCCCCAGTCCCCCGGGGACCCTGCCATGCACAGGTCCCCGGCCTGCTGCCATCAAGGCTACCCACCGAGTACTTGCTGCATACATCCCGCTCCGCTGTGCAGTCGACCTCAGCAATCTTGACCTCTGCCAAACCAGGGAATTCCTTCTTAGAGAGTTCCTCCCAGGTAGGAGCCAGATTCTTACAGTGACCGCACCTGGGGACAGAGCATGATGGCTGTGGTGAGAGCACTCACTGCCAAGCCCGCTTCTTCGGTGAGACGGTCAACAGCCACCCAGGAATGCATAAAACATCAAACTTCCCCACAGGATGCACACTAACTCCTCCTCCCCCATCCCAAACAAGGAATTCAAAGCCATCCAAAGTACACTGTTGGACAGCCTGGTAGATGGCCACACAATTTTTAAAAAATCACTTGATTACTGAGAACATTTGAGGGTTGATTGCTTAGCATCTTAAAATTTCAGAACTTCGTTTTCTTGATGCTTCCGTGAAAGTCTGGTTCCAGCCTTCTCTTGACCCCTTGGCTTTAGTCTCATCTCTTTCTGGCCCTCTCCTATATTACATGGGCTTCTCCCCTTCTATGCAAGGGCATCATCTTTCTTCACTCAGTCTACACAGCTCCCGAGAGCTCTGCTCACTGGCTCTTCACCCCTGCCTTTGTGGTTTCTCATGAGGACCTGGGGTCAAACAAGCACACAAGCAAAAGTGATGTGGACCTTGCTTGTGTCTCTTTAGGTGAAGAATTTCAGTCTTACTTGTCCTTGTGATGACAAAGCAGTTTCCATTTCACAGCTGAGGACACGGACAGTCAAGGGGTTCAAAGGACATAATGTTTATATGAGGAGGGATGGAAGACTATGCTGTGTTTAAAACCTGATTAAAGTCACACTGCCAAAAATCTCCTTTATCTCATTGCTCTCGCTCTTTCCAAAGCAGTTCTGAAGTCGTCTTTCGTGAGTGTCTTTAGCCGCACTGTTGTAACTGCCTCAATGTCCTGAATCAGTTCAAAATGTTGACCTTTCACTGTCATTTTGAGCTTGGGTAAGAGCCAGAAATGGCAGTGCCGGATCCGGTGCACAAGGTGGATGAGGACATACAAGCCTGCCTTTCCTCTGAATGGAACCTGGCAGCAGCATTCACTGCATTTTTGATCACCTCTCATAAAACCACTCACAAAGGACAACTTCCAGAACTGCTTCTGAAAGTGGAAAGAATGGCAGGTAGTGTGTTTGAAGTCAGGAGGGATATTCTAACGGGGGTCAGTGGCAATGCATCTTTCTTCAAAGTGTGGACATTCACCGTAACTTCTGATCACTGCTTGTAGTTCACAGCAAGCCTCAGAACCTGCCAGCTTGCCACCTCCTCAGATCGACGGTCTCAAGTGAGCTCACTCCATGTCCTTGTTCCCAAGGACTAAGTGGCAGGAAGGGTCAGGTAACTGGGTCACATATTCAGCATCTAACAGAAAGCCGAGTTCTACTGGGTTTCTCTGTAACATTATTCCAGAGGAACCCAGGAGCTGAGCTACATCATGTTTATTACTTAATGAAAATCTATTTGGAAAAGTACCCAGATGCCATAAAACTTAAGTTTTGTAAGGACATCATAATCCACCCCATTTCTGTTTCCTCCAAAGTAGATGGAGCTTTAAATTACTCTCATTCTCTAAATAATTCCCAGTGCCATGGAACGGGACCCTGTCTGAATACAGGGCTCTGATGCCAGCATTTCCTCATCTGCTGAGTGAGCGAGCGTGGCACCTGCTGACGTAAGTCTGTGAGGTTGGTTGTGAGCTGGAAAATGTGCTGGGACTTAAGCGCACTGGAACAATGTAGCTTCTACTGAAGTAACCACTTACCACGGGGCATAGAACTTGACAAAGGTTATTCCTTCTGCAATGGTGTTGTCGAAGTTCTCTTCAGTGAGCGCCAACACAGTGCTCTGCAGGACAGAAGCAAGCCACAGCTCAAATGTCTCAGTCTTTAAAAAGTGCTGTTCTGCAAGCTCCCGAGCCACACACAGCAGAGATGATGGCCCAGCCCAAGGGGCAGGACAGTCAGTGCACAGGCCAAAAACGCGAAGACACCCAGCCCTGCCTGCTCCTGTCAGCCCCAGAGGCCCAGGGGCAGCATGCGCCTGACCTGCCTGCCCCGGGCTGCTTTCCACACTGACCACTTTCCTCTCCCCGCCAGGCAGCTGTGAGCATTCACCTTCTCTGGGCAACAGAACGAGCCTAGTTAGGACAGCACAGGCAGTGGTACGTGTTTTACATAGAACAAGCCGCTTTCCATTTTATGTGCAAAGTAATTGTGCAAAACACTCATCCAAGCTCTGGCTAGAGAGTTTCCGGGGAAAGCCACCATGCGGTCAGCTCTGACACAATCCCAGGCTGACAGTTCTTTGCAGGGTTCCGTCTGTGTTTCCAGAGGGTGGCTGTTTACCATGTGGCCCCGTGCGACAGGGAGTCTGAGGCCAGGCAGGGCCATCTCAGAACACTACCGTCCTTATGTCTAGAAACACCTCGACGCTCACTGCAAGGCCCACTCAGTGGTGGAAACTTCTTGTAAACAGTTCCGTGGTGAAGGCCTCCATAGCGTGTAATTATGGTCAATTTGGGATGGTCTTTATAGCTCCGTGGCACACATGTTCCTCTTAATAGACAAAGTCACGACAAATACACATCAATCGTTTGTTTCCACCACACCCTCAGATCTGCACTAATGCCCAGGCCACCCCTAACCCATAACAGCCCATCCAAGGGGGCAGGTAGCTCTGTGGTTTTTCTAATCACAAACAAGCAGGGGTTCCTGGAGAGGGACAGTTCTGGGGAGTCACGTTCTCTCATGTGTGTGGAGGGACCTGAGGACCCCACTGTCCCTGGTAAGAGCATAGCAAGTAATGGGGGCACTGAAGCAGCAGCAGAAGTGGAGGTGTCCAGAGGAGCCCCCCACACACCAAGTATCCCAAACCCCACGGATGCTCGGGTCCCTTAGATGGAAGGTGGCACAGTATTTGACCAAATATAGGAACACTCAGCAGGACACTAAATCATCGCCAGCTGACTTGTAACACCTAGTACACTGTCAATGCTACACCCGAACTTCTTCAGGGAATGACAAGAAAAGGCTGCGTGTGTGCAGACAGTTTCTGTGGCTGGTTACACTTTGGGCTCAGAGGGCCAGCTGAACTCTGCCCTGGAAACGTGGGGAGCAGCAGTCCTCGCTGGTCATCACCTTGCTGCTCCTCCAAGCACACATCTGCCCCTCCTGCTCTGGTCCTTCCCTGTGCCCGGGCTGCACGTCCCCCGGCCTCGAATGGATCTGAGCGGGGTCTGAACAGTGCCGGACTCCGCCTTCCTGCTCCTCCTGGGAGCTGTGGGTGCCACAGCCGGACTTCACGCTCTCCTCTGCGGCCGCTGTCACATCCTCAGTTTGGGGGCTCCCTGTCTTTCAGGTCCATCCAGCTCCTTGTCTCTTCTACACCTGCAGTGGCGGCTCATCCTTCTACATTCACATCTGCTCCAAACTTCCAGGGGCTCCCAGTGGACTCAGGATGTAGCTCACGAGCCTCAGCCGGCCGACCGAGTCACCGCTCTGCAGCTGTGGCTCCCCACATGGCACCCCTCGGCCTGCGTGCACCCTAAACCCACAGCTAGTTCACACGGTCACATCTGGCCTCTGTGCCTCCCCCTGGCAGCTCCCGAGTCCTGCATCCCAGGGTGAGCACCCTGCATACTCGCTCACCAAGGCCCCGTGACTCGGGCTCCTGTGAGTTGTCCCCTTTGCCCCCACAGACCCAGGCCCTGGCCTAGGATGGTGCCTGAAACCTAAAAGACGCTCAAGGGGCACAGAACAAAGACATCTAAACCCTGCCGCAACCTCAGTGAATGAAGACCACACCTTGGCACATCAGGGCGGCCATATCCTCTCAGCGCCGCACACCCCTCCCTGCTGCAGATCTCTCTGAGGCCTAGGCAACTTCCGGAAGTGAAAAGAAATGGGCCCAGGGGCAGCAGCCAAGACTTCTCAGCAAACACCCTGCTCACACAGCATGGGACAGGAAGGCTCTCGAGAGACTTTCTAACATCAGCTACTCTCAGGATCCATCTCACTTCTATCGAATCTACAAGCTCCTATGGAGCGCATCAAAGATGAACAAACAGGTCTGTGTTGGGGCCACTGCCGCTGTTTGAGAAGGCCCCCCCCCGCCCATCCTGACCCAAGCAATGGGCACTCACCTTGTGCCCCATGGGCTCCGCGGCCAGCACTGGGGCCTCTGAGGGTTCCACAGTCTCGGGGGCTCCTGCCTCCAGATCTGGACCTTGCAGCTGTGACACCACGTAGTCTCTCAGTGACTCCAGGTCCCGCTTTCCCTTGTACTGATCCACCTGTCGGAGACATGGCCCATGGGGACGCTGCTGAGTTGGCTCCTGTCACAGTGCTCTGACCGTAGCCTCCCTGACCCCCCACCAGGTCCTTGGAAGTGGCTTGTCATACTGGGGGATGGCTCCCACCCCACCTAATTGGCCAAGGAGAGATCATAAACCTGTCTTAGCGCTCGGGGGAGAAGGTGCAGCTCCTGCCCTGTGGAGTCTGGACTGGAGGCGGCCAGTGTGCCATCGAGCTGATGGGACCCAGAGGCTGCCTGCCCACCAGGCCCTGGCAGAGGAGGGACTGAGCCAGGCATTGTCCCCACTCCAGGCTCTGCAAGGCCTGTTAGTGACCAGGGCAGGGACCTCAAGCCTGGGTAGCCCGCTGAGTCACAATAATCTGAGCCACCGGAATGTTTCAAAACAGCAGAACAAGTAGTCCTTTTTCTCAACTACCCAGATCTTATCAATTAGAGAACAAGAGGTCTGTTCCGTGGTATGCGTTTCTCCAAGCCAGGGCCCCAAAGCCATTGACAGTGTCCTCTGGAATGCAACGCCCATCACACACTCAGGAGCTCTGCCCTCTGTGGCTGCAAGAACTGAAGACGCACCTTCTTGCCATCTCGGAACCAGAGCAGGGTGGGGTAGCCTCGGACCTGGTGTTCTGAGCAGAGTCCATAGTGCTGCGTACAATCCACCTGAAAACAAAGCGCAGTAAAGCTCCCGGTCAGCTTCCTCATGGCCTTGTGCTGAAGGGACTTTCAGGTGCCTTGTACTTAAAGACAGAAGGCTTTTTAAAATTCCACATTCCATAGCAGCTGTGCCAGCAAGTTGCAGTTTTTGGAGAGACTTCCTAGAAGCTATCCCAAAATACACCTGAGCTAAGGAACAGGGTAACAAGATTTATTTTAATTCAGTTGAAAATGCCAGTTCTTAGGAGCTGGAAGTTGAGCAGGGCAGCAGCTCACATCAGCAAACCTCCCCTGACACCCGGAAGGGGCTACAGCCGATCTGCTATGAGCAGGACCCTTTGCTGGGTCACAGTGCCCGCTTGGAAACTCGCTCTCATGTCGCACTTATGCAGTCTCAAAATCTACAGGGATGGGACGGGAATGTGGCGTGGGGACAGAGCATGTGCTTAGCATGCGGGGGGGTCCTGGATTCCAACAATGGCACCACAAAAAACACTGTAAAAATGTCCAGCTGAGATTATTCTGTTCTTAATTCTATACATTTAGTTTACCAATGATCACAGCTCTTCGAGCTTTATTTAAATCTTTCAAAAATTTTGCCCCACATTCTCAGGAAACATTTTGCTCTAAATCACTTCTTTCCTTTTGATTTTCTGTTGGCCCTAAAATGGGCTGAGCAAGACTAAGTTGTTTTACACTGTGTCAACAAAATAAGGTCAACACTTTCAGCCCTAAGACTGCAGTGGAAGAGCAGTGGGAGGGTTAAGGGAACGCACAGGGGCCCCGACCCAAGGTCGCTGGAGGGGACCAGCATGCCCGAGGGTCGCTGTGGGCCAGCCTGCCACTCAGGCCTGGGCTGACACCAAGTGCAAATGACCTCCCCTAAAAGCTCACGAAATAACTGAGTAAAGGTACAAGGAATGGGGCGAGACAGAAGACTATAACCACTTCCAGGGAATGTTCAGGAAATACAGTCACAATCACAACACACGATCAGAACACATGACTGAAAGGAACGGGCAGAAATGAAAGCTATTTCACAATGATTACCATTTACTAAGCATTTGCTTCACACCAAGGTATTTTCAACTTCACAACCGTACTCAGCATATCTTGTCTGTTTTGCAAAGGGAGAGGGGTACAGAGAAGTTTCACCCAAGGTTGGCCACTCAGGTCTATCAGACCCCAAAATTCTGCTTTGGACCATCGCCCTGTCCTATGCAGATCACCCTCTTAACTGTCATACCCAAACCTGCGGCGCTACTTCTATACGTAGATGAGCCCCACGGCCAAGTAGGAAAAATGAAATTTTTAAAAGGGAAATCCATGCAGGGTGTCTGGGGGGTGCCAGAGGGTGATGAGAGGAACAGTGCCCGATGGCCCAGGAGCTACAGTGGAGAGCTTCAGAAAATCCGGGTACACAGACAGCACGGGACATGGCTCCTCCACGTCACGTCACGTCATGTCACGGGGCAGTCCCCGGGCCGCAGGGCAAACCAGGCTCACTGTGAGCGAGGCTCTTCTGTGAGCTTGCGTGAGTGCACAGCTGAGGGCCTCAGGGAGCCCCCGGGGGACCCACAGACGCGCAGGGAGTGGTCTACACAATCCACCTGTACCTCACAGGAGGGCTCGGGCTGCCAATTCAGAATTGGCCATCTCTTCCAAATAAACAAAGCAGCCAGGGCCATAATTTGTCTGGGCTGTGGAAAAGCCAGCAAACTCGACACTGGGCTGCCATCTGTGAAGGTGAAATGAATTATCAAGTGGCACACTAAATGGAATTAATGAATCAAGCTTGTGACTCTGCACATGGAATGAATAATAGACCATGTTGCTAATTAATCCGGCCCGATGCAGTCTATTTCCAGTTTAATAATGGCTCTCACTTACCTTGCCAATCTTGACAGTTTCCGAATGTTCAAGGCCCAGAGCCAGCTGCTCCCAGGTCGGGGCCAGAGCTTTGCAATGACCACACCACGGAGCGAAGAACTTGATAAAGTGGTCGCCTGTAGAGGATCCCAAGGCAGAGGAGGGAGGGGAGAGAGGCACTTAACTTAGGTTAGACCCACCTGGGGGTCAAACTGCATGAAGAACCAGACCTTTGTTCTCTGGCTCGGCAAACCTCAGTTCGGTCTGAACCCCTCAAAAATCGCACAGTGACTTTCTATCACATGTACAAAGTGCAAGAATCCTCAGCACGGCTCAAAGCAAAACCACATGTACCACCTCTGGAGGAGAGTAGGGAACCACCCATGCATGGAGGACTGGCAGTAAAGGGGGAAAATGGGGTGTACACCCTGTCCTTCCTGTGAACTGTGACACTGACTAAGGGATACACCACGGTGACTTGCCCGCGCTGGAGTCAGGAGTCAGCACTGGACAGCAGTGAGAGGCTGCTGTGAATGAAGGCCACGCCCAGGGTAAACAGACATCGGACACTGCCACGAGCAGCCAGGTCTTCCTGTGCCCCCAAAGAACATCAAGCTGAGGCCACACCCCTAGATCGGACCCCTGGCTGACAGGAATAGAGAAACGGGAAATGCAGAAACCCCTGTGGGAATCCAATCAGCAAAGTCCAGACAGTTCGGAACAAACTGTGTTCTGCAAATAGAGGGCAGGAAAGAAAGAGACGCTGTGGGGCTGGCAGCTGAGAGGCCCTCAGAGGTGGAAACAGTGCCTGGGCCGGCACTAAGTCCTGCTAAACCTGCTACGAGCCGAAAAGGCACTGAATATCCGCATGACATAGTCAAAAATCCAAGCGGGCTGTGGTGAGTCACAACCAGCTGTATATGAAAGTGAGCAGACCAAACTCTGTGCTTGGGCGTGCGCCCGTGAGGCACAAAGGCAAGAAGCAGCTCTCACAGGAGTCAGGAGGCTGCCTGGGCTGAGGGGAGGATGCACGCACGCACTGGGACGTGGGCAGGGCGTGCGGCTTCCCAGGCTGGGCACTGGTCCCAAGGTAGCTGTACACTCCACCAAGCCTGCGCCTGCCTTCTGTATGTTCTGTTCTGCTGCACAACAGGTTTAAAAAACAGCATCATCCTCTTGGACAGGTGAAAAGAAGAAATCACACCCTCACAACATTATCTGGACACTGTGGTCTACATCTGAGTGCAGGCTTCGGTCAGGGGCAAGTGGGATGTGGCCTGGCTCCCGGCAGAAGGGCCCCACGCCATGCTGGCTGCAGAGATGCCCCTGAGACTAACAGGGAAACACTGCTTCTAAACCCGGCACCTGATCTGCGAGGCTGAACCCCAGTGCGCGCGGACAGCGGGTCACTACCGACCTGCCCTGCTGCAGGGTGGCGCGGGGTCTCCAGAGGCCCCAGCAGGGTGCCAGCGGGAAACCAGCTTGGGCCGGAAGGTCCGTGTCCCTCTACAGGACGCTGCTGGAAGCAGCAGCATGGACTCGGGGGGGGGGGGTAGGCTGGGCTGCACCTGTGGGGCACCAACTGTAACTGGGCCGGTGGGTACTGCGCCCTGCGCAGAGCTCAAGTCAGCCCGAACCCGAGGCGAATCTTCTACAGGAGAGCACGCCGAGATCCCACGGCTGCCTGATGCGTATTAAATAAGCACGGCTGAAGCATCCTGCTACGTTATTTCAGACACTGAGTGAGGGGACAGGAGGTCGACTCCCAGCAGCATAGTTACAAGGCCGCATGCGATTCGGAGCCCTTTCTCACACTGTTTTCTGCCCAGCTTCGGGAGGATTTCTCTCCATGGCAGCGCTGGACAATGCGAGCCAGCAAGGAAGCTGGGTTTGCTTTCTGGCCACTCGCAGCTGGGCCAACTTTTCTAAACACAGAAACGCATCCATGTGTGAACAGAGACCTGAGTGTTGTTCACACGGAGAATGCAGCCAAGCAAGCATTTAGGAGGCCACTTCCAAACTATGAGATGCGGTATGGAAAGATATTTTAAGTGTGAAGAATATCTAGGTTTCTGTTTAAACAGGCAGAACTATTTGTGTGTGCCCGAGGTCAATAAGCATGACCAGTATCAACATAAACACTTTCCTATCCCAGCTAGGACAGGAAAACTTCTCGGATTCCTGTTTGTGAGCAGTGGCCTTCCAACCTGAAGCCTCAGCTTGGCACTGGGCCTGATATGCTTTAGGGCAGAGACGAAAGGAACGCTGAGTCTGAGAGCAGTCCTGACAGGCCTGAAGAGGGGCGCTGCGCCCTGAGCCGCAGCTCCGTGAAGCAGGGCCCCGCCCGTGCTCACCAGGCGCTCCACCTTACCCTGTGTGACGTGCAGCTCAAAGTTGCTGGCCGAGAGCTCATAGAGGCCCTGCTTGGGCTCGGGGGCTCTGGGTGGTGCTGCCTCTGGCTGTGGAGTCTGACAGGAAGAAACAGAGCAGCAGTCAGTCTGTGCACACACGGGGTACTGACCCTCCCGAGGTGCCGCCCCACCTGCTGGCCTCACTTGACCCTGTGCGGAGCTGCCATGCTGAGTGGGGCCGGGGCAGGAGCGCCTGTGTCAGGCGCTTCACCAGCAAGGCCCTCGCCAGCCTGGGAGCAAAGCTCCAGGGTAGCCAGTGACAGCTGTCCCACCCTACTCCCAAACAGAGAAGCTAAGGACAGTCCCAGCCCAAACGCAGTCCTTTGCTGTGAGATTTCACAGGTTACACAGGAAGCTTCCCGATGGGCCGATGCAGGAGGGTTAGGACCTACAGACACAAAGGAAGCAGGACGGACACAGGGAGCAGGAGGGCCTGCTTTCCTTAATTCCCACAGTGGCAGGAAAACCACACAGGGAGGGAAGACAACCACTGTTGAAGAGAAGAGTAGGTGACGAGGGGCAAATCTAGAGAAGAGAAGGCAGCAGACAGAAAAGCACAGGGCAGGCTTCACCGGAAGAATACAAGGCACACCACTAGGTGTGGGACAGAAAACACAAAGGGCAAGGATGGCTTTTTAAAACCTGCTTCTGCAGACCCCGCGCTGCTCACCACCTGTGCACATACTACTCAACTTCCCTGTACAACTGTGATAAGGTCTATTTTATAAATTAGGCTAGTCAGAGATTAACAGAAATAATAAAACAGAGCCATCATAACAACAAACTAATACAAAGTTATTTAAAGCTCATAAATTGCTTATTTCTATAATTTTCCAGGTCATATTTCTGACCTTGGGTAACTGAAACCACAGAAAGCAGAAAGCCGGATTAAGGGGGACAGCCATTCCTGAGGGGACACCAATGTGCACAAATAGTTCCTAGACTGCTAGGCGATTCTAAATTTCTCAGTTTTTGAGGCCAGGAATATCTCTGGCTTCCAACCAAAGTAATCTGAAGAAAAGATCACTGAATCCCTGTTTTGCCGTAGATACCTGGTGTATACAACTCAGTTCTTACCTAACAGTTCATGTTCCTATGAAAGAGAGCATCCTGGGTAAGTTGTTAAAAGTGCTGACGGCCCAAAGTCGTGCAGAGTTGTAATTGCAAAGCAAGTAAAGTTCTCCTTTCTGCCCCTAGCTTGTCCGGGCTTCCAAAGTGCTAAGTACCACAAAGAGCAGGACCAGGTGAAGGATGGGGCGGTGAACAGGCGGCGAGTCCCAGGAAGGTGAGTGGAGACACCATTTGTCACCCTTCCCGAGACACGCAGAGGGCTCTTGGTAGCGAAATGTTCCTGTGTGGCACTGAGTGCTCTTTCACACGCACCAGAGCAACCCCACCTGCCTGAACGCCACAGCGCGACAGAAGTGGGGAGAGCAGGGGCCGCTGCCTCCTCAGGAAGTGGTCTGGGAGCGCTCGTGAAACTGGTCTTTTTTTGGCTTTGCAATTTTAGGTCTGGGAATATACTCTAAAAAAACCTCGCTTAAAGAAAATTCTTTACAAAGCGCAAGGACCTGAGTTTGATCCCTGGTACTAAAAAAGAAAATTCTTTACAAAGATAAACGTTCCATACAACATTTCCGATGACTGAATTAAATGTCCACAGAGAGAAGAAACATAGAATTGTAAATCCATCATATGGTAACACAAAATAAAATCAACACTGAAACTACAGACTGTATAAAGTCACTAAGGAAAGCACTTACATGAGTATTTAACTTTACAAAAGCAAATACAAATATAAAAACTGGGGTGGAATGTAAAAAACAGATTTTCTTATGTTTGAGTTTCTTTCTGTATTACCATAACCCTAAGGGGAAAATTCTAAACTTATTCTGTATGAATATAAAATGTATATATTTAGTTACTTAGGTAAAAATGCAGATGAAAATCTTTTAAAAAAGTCTTCCCTTAAAAAATTAAATTCAAATTTTAAAGAATTTCTGGTTTGTAGTGCAACTTGAGCATCCCTAATCCAAGATCCAATGCTCCAAAGCCTGAAACCTTCTGACCCAGCACGACGGCAAAATCCCCGCACCTGTTACAGGGTGAGTGAGCTCCAAGAACAGGCACCCTAAGGACACTACAGAAGCCACCTTCAGGCTTTGCCCGGAAGTTAGCACCACAATGAGTGAATGTCTTATTCAGATGTAGGCCTCACCCTCAGGATATCACATTATGTGTCTGCAAATATTCCAAAATCCAAACAATCTGAAGCCTCTGAGCCAAGCATGGGGATAAGGGTGACTCCACCTATATACACCTGCACGTTCCGGCTTTGCCATCGCAAGGCACATTGTCACCATCATCATCTCCCGCAATTACCTGAGATCCCTGTTGCTTAGAGACCAAAACATGGAGCGTGGGTGGCTGCGGCCCCTGGGCAGATGCCTCATGGCCAGGCCTCTCCCTCGCTGAGCAGCTGGGAGGCACCCTCACACGTCGGTGCCACATCGCCCGAACACAAGGCTGCCACGTCCCCAAGGGGGACCCAGCCACGAGACGGCGTCCTTCCCAGAGGAACTCTTCCCACCGTTCTCACACTGGCTGCTGCATAAACCCATCATAAAGCCAGGGTTTCTGGTACAAGGTTCATTTTAAAAGCCTTTTTTTTTTTTTTGAGGCTACTGACTCTAAAGCTGTTCCCCTTACATCCAATACCTGCCCCCTTCAAAAGAGAATATTTTCACAAAGGAGGCAATGTGAAGCTAAATCTCTATGAAAGTTAGAACTGCTCACCCAGCTTTCCTGCCATGACAAATGCAAATTTCCTCTCAGAGAGGCTTGTGGTTTTCCCTGTGTCCTACAATTAGATAATCTGTGGCCAATGGCTGTTCAGCACGCACCACAGTACTCCACCTCGCGGTTAGTGTTAAACATGAGGTATAGTGGTGCGGAGTTTCCCACCAGCTCTGCTATCTATTATAGAGAACAGACAGAGGCGACGAACCATACACCCTGGAGGAGATGCCAACAGACGGCAGGGCTGTAACGCAACTGCTGGGATTGTGGGGGCCACACACTACCTTCTGACCCGAGGACGCCTACCCGACACAATAAAGCAGCCTTAGGCACTGACACTGAATTACACCCAGGGACTCCTGTGCTCTTTCCATTTCACCAAGCATGGGCAGCAGGGAACGCTGGCCCTTTTCCAGTCCTACTGACACCACAGCAGAGCCATCAAAGTTCAGCCCAGCCTCAGGGAGCAGAGCTCCCAGCATCCACCACCAGCACCACAAAATGATGATGATTATGATCACCGGTTTATAAAATGAAGACTTCAGCGTCAGCTAGGCAGACGGAGGAGTCTACGTCTTTCCTAGCCATATTCTTACAGGGGCCCCCCCATTTCCTGATATCCCCCTCACACAGGGAGCTGCAGACACAGCAGGAACACCTAGGATGGTGCTACATTATATTGTCAGTGAAGCCTTGGGGGCCTTTGCATTGGATAAAGCCAGGGGAGCAGGCATAGTGGGGTACGGGGCGGGGGGGGGGGTGATGGGCAAAGGTCCTGGGGAGAATAGGGCAGAAGTGCCAGGCTGGCCTGGACAGGGTACTCTGGCATTGCCTGGCCCCAACCACAGGTGGCCACAAGCCAACCCCGATGCTGAGGAATCGTTCTTCATTGTCTTCATGGGAGCGACAGAACGGCTATGCTGAAGAGTAAAAACGGCTCATCTGTGAGACCACAAACTGAAACACTGCGCATGACCCCGAGGAGGCCGGGGAGACGGGCTTGGTGAGTGGGGACCACTGCTGGGGCTGTGAGCCACCAGATGCTGCTCTACTTCTGTGCACAGCTGGATACTTCCTTTACTTATACATCAATGAATACTAAAAAATAAAGAGTCACTTTAAAATAATCGCCTTGATTTATGTATTTCATCTGGCCTCCGCCCAGCTGGACTCCCTCAAAATGTAGGCAGGGAGGGAGGGAAGGGGGCACTCACAGCTGGCTCCTCGTTCAGCGTCTGCAGCATCCAGTTTTCCAGCGTCTGGAAGTCCCGAGGACCCTGGTACTTCACTGCTTCTTGGCCAGGCTTAAAAAACTTCAGGCTGCAGAACAACAAAGGATTAGGCAGAGCACAAGTTGCATCAGGGAGCAGACTCGTTTAGGAAATCAAGTGGAAAATGAGCTGGTCAGGGGCTGCAGCTGGGCCCTCTCTGCCCCTCTCTGATCATTCTGAAGGGAAACAGAAGTACTGCTCCAGGAGGCAGTGTATGCACAAATGCTAAGCGTTCAGAAGTTTCTGAGGGTAAATGGAAAATGAAACTCAAGTGAAAACTTGCAGCCACAAGACAGCATTCCGTGCTCCTGTGCAGAATCTCAGGCTTCTCCCTGTGAGGTATGCATTATCCTCCCAAGCTAGGTAGGTATTTGGTACCTACTGTTCTTGTTGGGTAACTAAATTAGAGCTGTAGTAGTAACACATTGGTTTTGCAATATATTATTCCCAGATGGCCTTGGAAGGTACTAGACACTTGCAAAGCATGATGTGTTGGTCACCTTTCTGTTGCTGGGACAAAATACCTGACACCTGAAACTGAAAGGAGGAGAGGTTTACTTTGGCTCACAGTTCCAGAGGTATCAGTGCATGGGTGACTGGCCCCGAGGCAGAAATGGCATGGCAGAAGGTCCGGAGGGTGGAAAGCTGCTCAAGGTGTGGCAGCCAGGAAGCAGAGAGCAGGAAGAGCTTCGGGGGAAGGAAGTAGGGGCCAGATATAGTCCCCAAGGTCAGAGCCCATGACTCACCCAACACCCTAGGTGCTTCATTAATCTCCTGGGGATCTCTCAAGCCAAGCAGGCTGACATCAAGATTAACCACCACATATGAATATCCAGATATTTTGAGAAGTTTCCAAGAGGAAGGACGCTGGTTGGTGCAGTCTATTCCCTCATTTCCCTATGGAGAAGGGATCTTTTTTTTTTAACATATGTAGTCCTCTGAAGAGACAATGTGGGAGCAGTTCCCTTTGTGGTGAGCAAAGCATCGCTAGAGACTGATGATTAGCACTTGCTGCTGATCACTCTGGTGGTAATGGAAAACATGCTTTAGATGAAACTTCACAGGAGATATTAAGGATGAGGAAAAAATGTGGCTACTGTAAAAAAAAACCAAAAAAAAAAAAACATGGGCTAGGGTTTGCTTGCAAAGTGTGCTCGTGCAAGACACCCTCACACTTCCGGGGCACATATGTGGACTGAGTCGATGCTGAAAATACAGAATCAGCTGACTCTCCTTAAATGAAGCTGTATAGTCTCACAGCTACACAAGAAAACCAGTCCACTGGCTAGATCAGCATTGAAAGGTCAAAGGGATAAAGGCCTTATTGAGCACCCAATGTCATGTCATAGGGCTTAGATGATGTCCCTAAAGTGCCCCCAAGAAGAGTATAGGCCCAGCTTCTTCTGTAGCTCATAAAGATGCTCCTCACCCTAATAAACCAATCCTAAGTTGAAAATGTATTTAATACACCCACCAAAACACTGTAGCTTAGTCTAGCCTACTTTAAACATGCTTGGAACGCCTGTCAGAGCCTACAGTTGGGCAAAATCATCGACTACAAAGCCTATTTTATAGTAAAGTGTTGATTATCTCATGTTTTGAATAGCTGTATGAAAGTGATAAACAGATCAGTTGTATGATGATGCTTCTGCCCCATGATAAAGTAAAAAAATCCTAAGTTTAACTATCATTAAGCCAGGACCATCTGCACTTTTATAATCACAACAAAAAGGCCAAATCTAGCAAGATTTGGCCCGTGCATTCTGCCTCCAATGACAAATGTATGAAGTTCAACATTATAAGCAACCAAAGTATGCTGTACCAATTATGATCAGTGCAGCACCACCATACCCCATCCCAGGCTGCAGGCAGCTCAGGCAAGGAATTCTATGGCCACAGAGACTGGAAGCTGCTGCTGTGCTTCTCCACCTCCCTGCTCTCCTCTGAGTGCCTCCCCAGCAAGGTTCCCGAGTGGGGAGCAGATGGATCTTCAAGGTATCAGAAAGGACCGGGGGCTGTCACACTCAGTTCCTATTAAAACACGGTAAGAACCTGGCCTATGATTTTTCTGATTTGGCACACAGTGAGCAAAATGAAAAGAAATCTCTTTTTAGACTACAAGTCTAACCTACTTAAGTCTTCAGTTCTTCCTTAGTAAGCTCAGAGAGGCCAGAGAGAGCTAGAGCTTCTGCTACAGACCTTCCAGGTGGTTCTGAGTGTCTGACTTCAGTTTTCACTGTCGATGGAGGGGAAGGGAGTGCTGGCGACCGGGACAGGGTACAAGCCAAAGAACAGGCTCCTGTTGGCCTATTACCAAATGTCCACGTGGGCATTTGTGTCTCCTGGTGATGTGTTTCTCTTTCAAGCAGGCTGCAGGGGAGAAAAATCTCCACTTAGTTATCACTCTGGAAAACAGTGGGAGAAGTGTTTTCTTACAGGCATTCCTCTTTTTAAGACCAAGTTTCATTCCTGGTTGTTAAATGAACTGGTCGCTAAATGAAGAACTGCATATAGTATGTGCATTCTAATATTGAGAAGGAAGACATAGTCAAAGGAAACTCCACCTTGATGACTTTGCTTTTATTTGCATACCTCTTATTGCAGTACTGTGAGGTATAACAGAATACAAAGCTACAGCACTGTACAGCACAATCAGCAAAAATTACAGGACTGTACTGCAGAAGACTCCACCTGCACCATCAGCCCCCACGCAGGTCCTAAGTCCGAGCTGTGGGTTTAGGTCTGAACAGCTGCTAAACAGGTAGATGGTTAAATGAGGGACATCTGCACAATCTATGGTAACAGGATGGAATTGTCTCTCTCAAAACAGAACAGCTGAAGTTCTAACTCACAACCTCAAAATGTGACTCTAGTTAGAAACAGGGTCTTCATACAAAGGGGAAATTTGGACAGAGACACACATGTGTGCACAGGGAGAAGCCACGTGGCCACAGGGAGCTGGGCGGGCCTGATGCATGTGCACAGCAAGGAAGCCCAGAGAGCAGCACCCATCAGAAGCCAGGAAGAGGAGAGGATTTGCTGCGGGTTTCAGAGTTGGTGTGGCCCTGCTGACACCTTAATTTTGGAATTCCAGCCTGCAGGATGCGAGACAGTACATTTGTGTTGTTTTCAGCCACCCACCTGTGTGGCTCTTTGTTAAAGCAGCTGAAGGAGACGAACACCAATGATATCCCCTCTGTCCAGCCCCTGTCCAGGCAGTGACTTGTTCCTGGCCCCGTGGGAAGCTCTTCAAACATTTTCTTGAGCATAGTCTATTTCAGGGGTTATGGGAGCCCAAACCCCTCCCTCTGCAATCTTTTCCTCCAGCCTGATGTGCCAGGGAGACTGATGTAAAGGTTCACATGCACTGAGCTCGGGCTTTTCTATTCACCATTGCTTCAGGCCTTGCAACGACTGTCTCAGAGGACCCACCTATGACCGCCTCAGTATGACTACACGGACACAACCCTGCCTCCTGCACTGAGTTAAAAGGAATGAATTTTAGCATTCTGTTCTCGGCACTTCTGCAGGCCTGTGGGGGTCACGTGGATTCCCTCTCAGACCATTTCTGCTATAGTGTGAGCGATTTTCATAACAACACAACATTAGTGGCTGGTTTACTTGGGTGGGACCAGATCTTCCGAATAAAAATGGAGCTGGGCATGGTGGTGCACACTTGTGGCCCCAGCACTTGGGAGGCTGAGACAGGAGGATTGCTATGAGTTTGAGGCCAGCCTGGCTCCACAGTGAGTTCAAGGCAACCCTGGACCCTGTCTCAAAAAAACCCAAAATAATAAAAAAAAAAATGAAGACACATGATCCAACATGGGCCTTTTTTAAGTGTGTAAATGGGATCGATGGAGAACCTGAGGCTGCAGCCTACAGCATCTCTGACGGAGGCTACATGGAGCTCTTTAAACTTCTCTGTCTCTCTACCTCCCTGTGATGCATGCCCTTCTCAGCCCAATGACGGCTCCGGTTTCAGCCTCCCCATGCCCTGTTTGTGGGCCACAGGAAGTCAGCACCATCAAACCCCACTGAGGTCACAGCCAACGCCTCTCTGCTGCCCCTGCCTCCTGGAAGCAGCAGGATCAGGAGCCTTCACTTCCTCTTCCCACTACTCCCAGCTGCTTCTCTGGGATGCTCTTGATTGGAACAGAAGCTACTTTAAAAGCAGAACTATGAAGCACAGGGCAGTGGATTTCTTCAGTAAGGACACTTTCTCTCTGTTGGTCTGATATGATGTAGGTTTGAATTCTGGCACTTAGCAAGGAGCCAGTGGACGCCAAGAGTCCCAGGGTCCTTTATGGGAAGTCAAAGTCTACACTCATGCTACCTCCATGTACGGATGGAGGGCAGGGTGACCCTGTCACTGTCCCCCCTGGAGGAGAAACAATGGGGCCTGAGCTGCAGGGGACATGAACAGCAGGGTTTCTGCATTCCCTTCAAGCCTAGGGTTCCCTTCAAGTCTCCACGCAGCCTCTCACAGTTAAAGATCAGTTCTGGTTTTATACGCAGTCAACACTCCCCTGTACTCCTCAGTTAAGTACCTAATCACACAGAACTGACTGCATTCAACTGTAACTCGGATTTAGGGAGCTGCAGGGACCCCCACCCCACAGAAACAGCTTTTCCCACCAGTGCTTGCCAGGTGGGCAGGGGGATCTGTCTTCCAAGGTCCTGATTCCCTGCCACAGTGACCATCCTGGACACAACTCTCACCCAGGGGACCTGCCAGCCATGGGACCATTCTCCAGAGGACAGATGTTGTGCTGAGCAGTTCCCTCACTGGAAGGAGGTGCAGCAGAACCAGCCTGGGGCCCAGGGCCGAGTCTCAGAGCTGCCCACAGAATGTCGGTTCATCCTCTGTGCCTTGGTCTGATGCCCCACCCAGGGAGCTCACATGACCAGCTGGGGAACAGGAAGGCTTGTTCTGTCTCAGTCCGGGGGTGGCCTGGAACCCTTGCCTTTGGGGCTGCAGTGAAGCCACACATCATGGTGGGGAGACAGGAGGAGGGGTCCCCAGTGTCCCCACCTCCCCCCAGACTCCACCTTAAGGATCCTGCAACCTCCTAACAGGGCCTGGCCGCATGCTGGGATCCAAGGCTGAACACCGGCCCCTGGGTTCTTCCTCAAACCACAGCAGGGCAACAGGGTGTGAGCCTGGGTGAAGCTGGAACCACCCCTCAGCACCAGAACACTCCTGCCCTGCTGTCAGGGCAAGTGGCGCCACTTGTCAGAGCTAATGTGCTCTGTTCGTCCTCCTTCCTGACAAGCAGCCCTGTGCTGACTGCATGGGACACCGTCCAGGAGAGGCGCAGAAGAGTAAGTCACCAAAAGCTCAAGCCAAGGGCAAAGTCTATGCATGCCGAGTGTGTGAAACGTACTGGCGACGTTCCACAGAGTCCCTCACTGCTGTCCCTGACACCCTCCACTCACAGGCAAGGCCAAGCCTGACGACCTAAAGGCCTTTTTCAAACACGGTGGGAAATGCATGTAAAATAGTATTAAATAGAACTGCTCCCTACCACCCGGGACTGCCCACTCCAATCCCTCCGACCTACACAGGAATTTACGGCCGGCAGCGAGGACTTCCTCGGCTGCAGGGGCCCAGCGCACGGATGTGGGGACCCTGCCTTCCACTTACGTGGGGTAGCCTCTCACACCCTGCGCGGAGCACACGTCTGAGTCGGCCGTGCAGTCCACTTTGGCCACGTAGACCTTGGCATCTTCCACGCTGTTGTACTTGTCTCCCAGGTCATTCCACGTCGGCTGCAGCCGCTGGCAGTGTCCACACCTAGAGCGAGGGGAGAGGACACAAGACTGAGCAGTGCTGGGCCGGGGCGTCAAGCCCTTCCCGTCAGATGCTGGGCTGCCTTTGTGCTGCAGCGGGTGGACAGCACACAGTTCCCTGCTTCAAGCCCTCCGGACAAGTGCACACAGTCCTCGGCGTCGCACAGAAACCCAGCCTGATGGTGTTCCACATCCTCCTCTGGCCTCCATGCCACGGGCCGCCCTTGCCTTGCAGTCCCTCAGGCCTCCGCTACAGCATCTGCAGTCTCCAGAGGGCCAGGGTGTGGCTCAGCCCTGCAGCTCTGAACACATTCTCTCCCACTCGTTCTTTCTCCCTACACCCTGCCCGGCTACCTCCGTCTGCCTGCAGGAGTATCTACGTGTCACTTCCTCCAAGAGTGTGGCCCTGACTCCATCTCCTTTCTCTTTTGGACACACACACACACACACACACACACACACACACACAGCAGCTCCTTAGTGCTGCTCGTGGTAGCTGCTCCTTTATTAGTCAGGTCTCCTCTACCATCTAACCACATATGCACAAATGCAAGGCAGCCTCCAAATTAAATCAACTCTGCATTTTTTCCAATGAGAAGCTAAAAAGGTAAACTTGGAAAGAAGGAGTTTATGGTCACTGAAACGTCTCAGGTTGATATAACCAAGCACTACATACAAGGCTGCATGAACTTACTTATATGCGAACGTTAACTCAGCCATCACTAAATTACTACGCTAGCTGGGATGATGGCTTCTGCCTGCTCCTGCCATACCCACCAGCGTCTTTCCTCAGTGTTAGGCCTGCTGCCGACTGAGTCACGGCCCTGATCAGCTCTTGCACTCTCAGCTGTTTGCGATGCCAAATTTGAATTCGGAACCAGACAACACTGGAAACTGTATCCTAACCTTTAATCACAATCACAGAGCATGGTGGCATAGGGGTTGTCTGGGGTTTTCCCATGTGTCTAGTAAGCATGGTATGAATATCTACAGGGTAACCCCATGCTGGGCTGCTTTATAAAGTCAGGCTTTAGGAAAGCAAAAAAAATAAATAAAATAAACAAAACCAACTGTCCACCCACAAGAATACCCAGCACTGATAACTGTGAGTTCTTCAAAATAATTTCTCAGTAAAATCTGTGAAAGCTCTTTGCCTCTTTTCTGACAGATTACCTCAAAGCACCTTCAGTAGCACTGAACAAGTTTGCTTGGAGCAAAGTGTCTTCTCTAACCATCACTTTCCAGGCCGGCTAAGAGAACCCTGTCATATAAGAGCCTCAAACACAGTATCATCCCCTCTTGGAGATCACTGTGGCGGAAACCCCAGTGTTAGTTTAAGTGCAGACAGGACAAGTGCCAGGAAGGCAAATGCTGTCTTTTTTGCTACTGTATTCCCAGCACCCAGCACATACTCGGTATGTACTAAGTGCTTGGCAATTTCTTCACTGAATGAAAAAAACCAAACTGAAACTGCATTTGCAGATTTAATGTCTGTGAATTCAGAGTGGCTTGAAGGGTGGGGGAGGGGCAGGGGAGAAGCTACTCGGGAGAAGAGCCAAGCGCCACAGAGCCCTGAAGGGCGCCTGCAATGAGACAGCTTTTTGCTCCTCGGTTCTGCTCTTCCTCATGGTGCGAGCATCTTGCCACATCCAGCATGACCATGCTGTCTAAAGAGCATATCTGACACCCAGCCTGGTCAGTGCTTAGCCAAAGCAACTACAATCTGTCCCTAGAAAACCTGGCTGAGCGGGTGTGGGCTGGTGTCCTCCTGGGCACTGTCCCAAAGGGCTTCCCTGGACAGTTCTCACTCCAGAGTTTGGTCAGACACGCTCACTGCAGAATTTTACAACTCCTTTGCAACCTTTTAAGTTTCTCGTGAAAACACAAGACCAGATTAAAAGCAAGGATAAAGAATACATTCACTCGGGCAGTAAACCAAAGCTGTCCATCCTGGGCCCTCACTTAACTGGGTGTGCCTCCCTTGTGCCCACCCCAGCAGTGGTGACAGAGCCACAGGTGCCATCTAGTTGGAACTCCTAGTTTGGGGCCCTTGCAGCTACAGCATGAACCCCTGGACCAACCAGCTGCATTCCATTAGCCTGATCCTAACAGAGCAAGGAAAAGTGCAAAACCACCTAGTCCCAGCACTGATCTCACTGCCATCAGGGTCAGTGTGACCCAGGACCGCCATAGAGAAGCTGTGACCCGATGCTGGCACAAAATCTACTTGGCAGGACAACATACAGCTGCCAAGGCCAGAGCAAAAGCATACAGATCTATGTTTTCATTACATCATGTCCTTGAGCCCAAATCACACGTGGGCTTCCAACATTCCACAGCCTCTCAACTAGACGAAGCTGGGGAGGGGTGGGCTGAGGTCTTCTGAGCTCCAAACAGCACCTGAAAGTCTAACTTTCAAAGGCCATCACGAAAATCTACAGATCTCTATTTAAATATCCACAGCAGCTGAGTAAGAAGCAAGTAAAACCTTAAATTCCTTTATTGGGAGAGTCCCCCTAAATGTCCATAAAGCCACACTGAATGAAAAGAACATTTACTTAACTCCTAGTACCCACACTGGTCAGCCTCTCTCAGTCCAGGACCAACTCGCTGATATTTGCTGCAGGTAGTCCAAAATTAAAACTCCATTAGCACTGCAGGGGACTATGGCCACATGTCAGTTTTTCTTTTAAAAAGAGAAAAAAAAAAAAACCCCACAGATTTATTCCACGAAATTGGCCCCAATTAAGTGCAGCAGTGTATTTAACAGGCTTGGTTACTCCCAGAATACTGCTGGTTCAAAGTAACTACATTAACATCAGCTGATAGTTTCATGCTACAAAGTATTTCCTCTACCGGCGGTAATTCTAAAAATTCAAGCCAGTTGGTTCTTAGGAGCCTGAAACACAACAATGTATTCCACACGTACATTGTTAATAAAGCGTAGTTATGAGCCAGACTGGCCCCAAAAAGTTGAAGGAGCTGAAATACAGCCCGACTATGGGGTTGAGAGACAGGTTAGTTCTGAACAAGCCATTTTTTTTCTCTGCCCTTCCCACACCCCTTTTTCTGCTGGGCGGGCCCCTCCTGAGCTCTGGGGGCAAATACTAAATCCTGCAAAACACGTTTCTCACACCCCAAACTCCCGGTCCTGGGCATCTAGGCCTCGGCAGGACAACGCCCCCTGAGCTTGTACCCTGGGGTAACTCCCAGGGTGACGGAGTCTCGGGTTAGCTTCGAAGCCAACCAGAGAACCACACAAGGTCTGATCTTTCAATCGGGGACTTTCCCATCTCACTCGTTCCAAGTGACCTGAACCCGAGAGAGCGGAGAGGTGACCAAGGTCGGCTGGGGCTGTGGGCCGCCGAGACAGCTCGGTAGGGCCCCAGAATTTGCACTCCTCCGGGTTTCCAGCGGCAGCACGGGAGCCCCCTCGCCCGGGTCCCGTTCCCACGCACGAAGTCGGGAACCACACCTCGGGGCGTTCTCCTTTTCCAGTTAAGTCCGAGAAGGTGACCCGCCCCACGTCTAAGGTCGAGCAGGAAGAAAGCAGCCCGGGTCCCGGCCATGGCAAGAGCTGCGCCGGGCGCGCACGGGGAGTGGGGGGCGCCCGGACCCCTCGGCGCCCCCCGCTCTGACCGAGTCGGGAGGGCGGGATCGGGGCGGGCTCCTCCCGCACGCTCGGCCCGCCCTTCTCCCGCCGCACTCGGCCGCCCAGCGCCACGTCAGCCGCGAGCGCCCGGCCCGCTGCCCACGCCCCCGCCCGGGCCTCCCCTGCCCCGCGCCCAGCGCCCCACGCCCCACGCCCCACGCCCCGGCCCG